TTATCAGATACACTCACTTCCTGGTTGGAAGGTCTGAGGCTGTACAGGGAAGAGAGGAGGCCTCTGTCTTCTCCAGCACCCCACGCCTCCCTGGGAGGCAGGAGACAGAACAAAGCGTCCTGGGCTGGCACCTGCTCAGAAGCTAGAGATCTGCTTAGCTCGCTGAGGCTGGGCTCAGGCCTTCCTGCCACTGATCAGAATGGGGGGCCCTGCTGTCCACACCTCAGGATATCCACGCAGCATCTCTCTCTATTCCCAGGCCCGCATTTCAGGCCTCTCCTCTGGGGTCTCCCCTGCGCCACTTGGAGAGGAGTGATGTATGACTCCCATCAGCTGCTGCTTTTGCTGGGCTACTATGCCTTCCTTATTACAATTCCATTCCTTGGTATCTGTGCACATTCCTGGTTCCAGCATCTTACCATAGAGCTCCTCACCCCTGTAGTCTCCACTGCACTTGCTGTATTGGCCCAGTCACCCCTGGCAGCGGTGACAGGTTGCATTAAAATCATCGAAACACCCAGCTCCTTGTGGGTAATCCAGGATGCCTCCCTTGGCGAGTGGGTGGGTGGCCACAGTACCAGGACTTGAGACAGCTGTCTCTTCTCTAAGTCCTGGCTCAGTCTGTGGCTGAACCACCTCATTTTCCCATGCTTGTCCCCAGAAGCCTCTGGAGCCTGTCCCAGATGGCATCAAACCCCTCCTCCCCTGCTCCCTGGGGCGCTGCTGCCCAGGCTCCGTAGGGCCAGGACTGTCCCAGATGAGAAGGCCTCCTGGGCCCCTCCTCCCTGCTCCCTGGGACGACTGTGAGCTCCGTGGGGCCCAGGACAGCCCCACAGGTTTCCCCGCAGGGAACTGGGCAGAGGCTGACCTCCGCAGGCACCCTGGGCCCCTGACCATTTGACGCTGCTCACTCTTCTCCAGACACTCATCCGACCTGAAGTCACGGGTGCTGGTGCCATGGCGACTGGTGCATAGCAACCCACACATTCTCCACACCAGGGCAGGCGGCTTTATTGCTCTTAGGCTGGGTTAGTGACGGCAGCACCTGGGACAGTCACTGTCGAAGCCGCCTGGAACACAGGGCCTGACCATCCAGGGGCGGCCATGAGAGGACAGCCCCGAGCTCTGTAGAGAGGACATGAGGTCACACGTGGAGACATGATGGCACCAGTGTCCCGAGCTCTGTGAAGAGGACGTGAGGTCACACGTGGGGACACGATGGCACCAGTGTCCCGAGCTCTGTGCAGAGGACGTGAGGTCACACGTGGGGACACGATGGCACCCACACCCTGAGCTCTGCACAGAGGACACACGTCACACATGGGGATACAATGCCACACATGTCCCATCTGTGATCACTGTCACCTCCCCGGCGTGGCCTCACTGAGGACAACAGAGTGGCCTGGGAGGAACATACAGTCACGTCTGCACAGCCCGTGTGACTTGCGGCCGGCACGTGGGGTGGGTCAGGTGAGAGTCACCCTGGGACCCAAACCCCACAGGCCCCCCAGACCCAATCCCCGATCACATAGAACAAGCCAGTAAGCATGTGTCCCGGATGAGCCAACCGTGCTCTCCCCACTTGGGATGTGGCTGCCCCGCAGGGGTGGGTCCCAGGGGCTGACTTGGGTTGACCAGATGGACTCTGGAGCAGGGCAGCAGCTCCGCTCTGGATGGAGTTCAGGGTTTGGTTCGAAGAAGCTGGAGCCAAGAGATGACACTGGGAAAGGGGCTCCTGGGAGGGGCCGGTGAGAGGGAGAGAAGTGGGAGGACACGTATTGCTGGGGTCCGGGAGCAGGGTCCTCACGGGAGGTGGGTAGCCAGCTGGGTCAGGAGCAGGATCCTTACAGGATGCGGGCGGCCAGCTGAGTCAGGAGCAGGAGGTGGGGCGGCAGCTGAGGGGTGTCTGCTGTGGATGACAGGGGCCAAGGGAAGAAGGAGGGAAACGTGGAGGGAAGCAGAGGTCAGTGTTGAACCCTGAGCAGGAGGTGGAGGCCAGGGAAGGGCAGAAGAGGTGGGTCTCATGGGAGGAAAAAGGAAAGGGGAGGGGGAGGTGCGGGATCTGGACTGTGGGACGTGGGCTGAGGAGCGGGAGCCTAGGGAGGGGATGCAGGGGTGCCTGACCTGGAGCTCTGTCCCTCCAGCTGGCTGGGCAACAGGTCTCCAGAACCCACCTCCTGCGTATGTCTCAGGGCGGCTTTGCAGCAGCGGGAGAGATTTAGGATCGGGGAAAAGGGAAGATTCACGGCGGGGCTTCAGAACAATCAGCAGAAACGTCCTGGGTGGGGTGAACAGCAGCCCCCAACCTCACGTCGTTGTATTATATTAGCACTGCCCATCGTGATCGAGAGCTGGGATGTGTCCGCGCCGTCTTCGCAGGACGGCCTCGTTCACCTTCCGAGGCATTCATGTCAATGCGACAGTCATCTGCATTTTACAGGTGGGTAAACTGAGGCCAGAGCCGCACGGCTGTGGTGTGGAATCCAGCCGCAGGCCTGCCTGACCTGGAGCTGAGCTCTTGCCTCTGACGGCTCACCTGGGCTCAGTCCCCGAGACACGGGTCACGCGGCACCTGCCAGGGTTTCTGGGGACACCAGGTCGGGGAGTCCTGTCCGCCTCTCCCAGGAAGCTCCAGCGCCCGCGTTCCCGAATCCCAGCCTGCAGGGCTTCCCTTCCAGACGCAGGCGCCAGCGTTCGCGAAGCTGGGAGCAGAGCCGCCCTGGTCCACGTCCGTCTTGGTCTCTCTGCACGCTGTCAATCACAAGCAGCATTAATCCTGGGCAACAAACCGTGGCAGACGCACTGCAGGAAAAGTCAGGGACTGCCCGTCTCAGCTCTGGGGATGGGGTCCTGAGTGATGGAGCAGACGGAAGCCCCCTCGGGAGTCCAGCGGCCTGGGTCGTTAGGACTGAAGTCCTCACAGAGGAAAAGACTTAATTTTTCACTCAGGTGTGAAACAGACCAGGGCTTTCAGCCTTTCTGCTGCTGTGTGTGCAGGACGGACGCGGTCAAGTGTGCAGCACACACACTCCTGGGGCTGACGCGGACTCTGACCAGCCCAGACAGGGTGCCTGGGGGCGTGAATAGAGACGGCAGCCCCCGAACACCACGGCGGACGGCTCTGCCGGGAAGGACCCGCCCCCGGACACGAGGCTCCTCCCCAGCCCCTCCCCTCCCCCCTCCCATGATGCTCTTGGCTCTCCCTGGGGGGCTGCCCCTCCCCACATCCAGTCCCTGTGGGCCGGGTGGGGCCCTCGCCTTTTCACACACGTGAATCACGTGATCGGGCCGCATAGTAAACGCACAGCCTCCCTAGGGCAGCACTCTGTGGGGTAGGGGTCACATGACCCCATCCGGGCCAAGCAGAGCAAGATCAGGACCACTACAGAAGCTATTGGGGAAGGCGTGTGCTGTTTCTTAAACACAGGTGAGCTGGGAGGTGCTGCAGCATTGATGGGGTCACAGTCAGAGGGGATTCTGGGGCTCCCAGGGGACAGCATGTGGGGCCTGAGATGGAAGCAGCACAGGAGGGAAGAGCTAAGAGTCAGAGAGAGAGAGTGCAGGAGAGAGCAGGGGGGAGAGAGAGAGAGCGAGAGCAAGAGGGAGAGCAGGAGAGAGGAGAGAGCAGGAGAGAAAGAGAAAAAAAGAGGCCGGGCGTGGTGGCTCATGCCGGTAATCCCAGCACTTTGGGAGGCCGAGGTGGGAGGATCACGGGGTCAGGAGATTGAGACCATCCTGGCTAACACAGTGAAACCCCATCTCTACTAAAAATACCAAAAAAAAAAAAAAACAAATTAGCTGGGCGCGGTGGCCGATGCCTGTAGTCCCAGCCACTTGAGACGCTGAGGCAGGAGAATGGTGTGAATCCGGGAGGCGGAGCTTGCAGTGAGCAGAGAACATGCCATGGCCTCCAGCCTGGGGGAGATAGCAAGACTGTCTCAAAAAAAAAAAAAAAAGAGAGAGAGAAAGAGAGCAGAGAGCAGGGAAGAGAGGGAGAAAGAGAGAGACCAGGAGAGAGAGAGAGAGAGAGCAAGGAAGAGCAGGGGAGAGACAGAGACAGAAACAGAGATGGAGCGATAGAGAGAGAGATGTCTCTAGAGGCCAGAATGCAGCCACACCTGAAACCAGCTAGAATAACCTAGATTTCCTCACGATGTGAGCCAACACATTCCCGGGCATCTGCTGATTGGCATCAGGGTTTCTGATGCTCCGCAGAGAACTGCCCCCAGCTGTTCGCCCTCTCCTGATTGTGGACGGCCAAGCCAGGCATTTGTCCTACCAGTGTGGCCGCAACCCTCCTCTCTGGTGACACTGCGAGTTTGAATGCAGCAAAGGTGAAGTCACCCACCGTCAGTTACTCTAATGACCTTTCATTTATTAAAAAGTAAAACATTCCCAATCTGTGGCACTTGGGTATTTAGAAAAACATTACTTGTCACACCAAGAAAACCATGGTGACGCAATGGTGTGCTTCAGCACTGTGGGGAAGAGCGGAGTGAACCCGGCTCTAGTGCTGGGCTCTGGCGCTGCCTGTGTGTGTGCTCACCACACGTCCTTGTCTTCTTCTCCGGGGAGAGCCCTGACTTATCCGAGGGAGCCACGTGCCCCTCTAGATCCTGCTGGTTAGGACATAAATGTCCCTGCTGCACCTGGGACTGCCTCCATGGTGATGACGCTGGAACCTCGGGTGGGGGAGGGAGGCTCGGAAGGGCCTGTGTCCCAAAGCCTGGACCTCCCGGCGCCCTGCCTGTGGGTTAGTTTCTGCATCAGTTGCTGATGTCTGTCTCTGGCACTTCCTACCAAGGGCCTGAACCTGCACACCTGGGCTCAGTCCCCGAGACACGGGTCGCGCGGCACCTGCCAGGGCTTCTGGGTTGAGATGGTTGCAGTGGACACCAGGAGAGTCGTGGGTGATGGTCGAGAACCGCCACACGGGTCGCGCGTACCTGCCAGGGCTTCTGGGTTGAGATGGCTGGTGGACACCAGGAGAGTCAGGTGATGGCCGAGAACCGCCTAAGAACAATCTTAATCACACATTAAGAGCCTTGTCATTGAAAGAGGGTGACATCACGCAGTGGACACCAGGAGAGTCGTGGGTGATGGTCAAGAACCGCCCAAGAACAATCTTAATCACACATTAAGAGCCTTGTCATTGAAAGAGGGTGACATCAGGTGGGGGTTCCCCTCCCCTCCCTGGGAAGGGCACACAGAGCTCACTTGTGGGTGCTGGATCCTCATGGCCTCCTCTGCTTCTAAAGGATGGGGGAGGCAGGAGAACAGGTGGGGCCCAGGCTGGGGCAGGAGGAAGGTGGAGCAGACCCCATGGCCACTAGGGGATGGGGCAGGTGGCTCTGGGATCCCCACTCCCCCAGGCAGCCCCTGGACTAACGCAGTTGAGGGGATGGGGAGGGGAGGTGAGAAGGGGGAGGGGAGGGGAGAAGGGGGAAGGGAGAGAGGAGAGGAGAGGGGAGGGGAGGAGAGGAGAGGAGGCCAGGCTCTGCAATCACTCACCCTCTTGTTTTCCATCCTTCCACCACAGGATGACCACACCAGAGGCCAGTGCCATGTGCATGAAGCCTCCAAAAACATAAGCAGAAGAAATGTCTCGTCTTGATGAATTACCATCTGTGATATTCTGTTACAGCAGCAGAGAACAGCCTAAGACACTCCATTTCTACTAACGGGCGTTTGATGCAATAGTCGTCCTGAAAATTCATGGAGAAAGTCTGCTCCGAAACCAATTTTCTGCTCCATAACATCTGCCTTTGGAGAATCTCATATAAATAAGGAATGAGGTGCAGATGTCGAAAGACAGTGGGTTCTGACGGTGTCATTCCAAGTGGAGAGGGGTGATAAACGCCCATCAGAATTCAAATAAAATATGAACTTCAGAGAAAGGGAAAATGTGATGTGACCCTGCACGCTCAGCTGAACATGGCAGAAACTGTCCTGTAGAGAAATGGAACAGGGATTTTAAAAAGTCACCTTCCTTCATTTGCATGTATATATATTATAATTCATTTCCAGACGTGAAAGTAAGACTGAGATTTCAGCTGCTGAATTATACATCTTGATTCTTGCATACAGAGGACACAAAAACTTTCCCCCGAAGGCCTAAATAATGATGTCCAGCCTTATTCTTCCTTCGACATACCTCACACACAAACGAGGATGGGCCATCCTTTCTGGAACTCTGTCCCCAGGACATGCGGTGAAAGCCACAGATAAAGAACCAGTGAATAGCCAAGGGTGTGCAAAAGTGTAGGCTTGTGACTCAATCGTGCAGCCATGGGGAAGGACAGAGCCAGGGCAGCCGACAGCACCGTTCCCTCTGGGCAGCACCACCAGCAGGGACCACTCTCACCCTCTTTACTAGAGACAGGGATCAAGACTCTGCATGGCGACTTCAAGGAGCACAGAGTGGAAAAAGGGGCAGTCACTTTAGAGTGGAGAAACCCGGCAACCAGGCTTAGCCAGGAATCAAGGTCAATGTCAGCCATGATGTCTGATCCATGACACGGGCCCTCAATACACCGTGAGAGACAGCCACCTTCCCTCTGTACACCCCAGGCGAATCAGGAGCAAAGCACTGGACAAATCCCAACGGAGCGACCATGCACGGAACACCTGGCCAGTCCTCCTCACAACTGTCAAGGTCATCGAAGCAAGGAAAGTCTGAGAAACAGTCACAGCCAAGAGCAGCCCAAGGAGACACAATGACTGAATGTCACATGGGATCCTGGGTGGGAGCCTGGGATAGTAAAAGGACATTGGGGAAACTAATAAAGTGTGACTGAAGTGTGGACATGGGTTAAGAGTGATGTATCCATGCAAACTCATTAACTGTGACGAATGTACCGTGGTAATGACAGAGGTTAGTGACAGGAAACGGGACAGGAGCTGCAAGGACTCTGTACAGTCTTCATACTTCTCAGAAAACCTAAAGAAAGCCATGCTAAACTAGGAAAAGTTTCTTTTAAAACACAGGAAACAGTGGGTGTTGAGGCTGCAGAATCAGAGATGAAGACCTGTAACCCTAAAACTTTATTTCCCAGCTGAAATCAAACGTTTTACAAAAGAGGACGCTGGGGCTGGTAGGGCTGGCATTTTCCCACCACGGCCAAAGTGCTTTCACCCCAGGACAACGTCTGTATGCACTGGGCTCTAGGGCCTTTTTGGTTTTTTTAGTTTTTTGCTTTTATGTCCCCAAAATAAGACATGTCTGTGGTTTAAAGTGTAGAGTATAAAATACACAGTGGGGAGGAAAAGAGGTTTCTTCTTTGTCATTTTGGCCACAATGTCTCCATATTAGCCCTCAAAGGCTGCCACGGTCACCTGCTCTAAAAGGTCTTTCCAAAGATAGTTTCCACCAGGCATGGTGGCGTGTGCCTGTAATCCCTGCGTCTTGGAAGGCCAAGGTAGGAGGATCGCTTGAGCCCGGGAGGTCAAGGCTGCAGTGAGCCATGATCATACCACTGCACTCCAGCCTGGGAGACAGAGCTAGACTGTCCCAAAAAAAAAAAATTCAAAGATAGTCTGTACAGGAACAAGTGCACGGGACCTTACAGAACCCTCATTATTTTTAATGGCTTTAGCCTGTGCTACTGTATAGGGGCCTCGTAATTTGTTTAAGCGATTCTCTATCAACAGACATTTATCTTAGTCTTTTATTACAAATCACGCCGTAATGATATCTTCGTTCAGACGTCCTTGCACACATTACAGCATTATTTTTAATGCCTGCTTGATATGCGATGAGAATGATGTACAATAACTTACATAAGGCATCCTCTATTTTAAACGTCTAGATTGTCTCCAATGTTTTCCACCATTACAAACAATGCTGTTACAATATAAATCTTCACACACACCTCTGATTGCTTTTCTTGGATGAATTTCTGGAAGGAAGTGCTGAGTGAAAACATTTTCACTTTAAGGTTGCTTCCAGCCCTTTTATGAGGGCTGAGTCTGGGCTGTTCACATGGTGGGTTGGGCAGGCGCCCACGAAAGGGCAGGAGGAGAGTCCTGTGAAAGAGGGGAAGGCCAAGTCGCCTCTCCAGGGTCGGGGAGGGGAGGGCGGGTGCCCGGGGCCCTGCTGGTTGTCCTCTCACAGTCCGGCTGGGCCCATTTGGGGTCCTTTCCCTCACTTTTCAGGGTGGTGCCAGACACCAGGATTCCTAGAGCTTTGGCTGTTGTCAAGGAAGAAATGTCTGCAGAGGCTTCTTCTTTTTTATTTTTTTTGAGACAGAGTCTTACTCTGTCACCCAGGCTGGAGTGCAGTGGCTGGATCTCGGCTCACTGCAAGCTCCACCTTCCGGGTTCATGCCATTCTCCTGCCTCAGCCTCCCAAGTAGCTGGGACTACAGGTGCCCGCCACCACGCCCGGCTGAGTTTTTTGTATTTTTAGTAGAAACGGGGTTTCACCATGTTAGCCAGGCTGGTCTTGATCTCCTGACCTCATGATCTGCCCGCCTCAGCCTCCCAAAGTGCTGGGTGCAGAGGCTTCTTTAAAGAGAACCCCCATACACCTGGGAGGTACAGTGACGCATCTGACCCTGCCGAGGAGGGGGAACCAACCTGCATCGCTAAAGGTCGGCCTAAGTCTGACCCCGCTGAGGAGGGGGAACCAACCTGCATCACTGAAGGTCAGCCTGAGGTGAGTTGGACCCAACACCTGCAGCTCAGGCCCTTGGGAGTGTCCTCCAGCTCTGGTGTGTGGGAAGCAGCACTGCCTTCACGATTCCACCAATGGCTTTCATCTCCACCTGCCCCCGTGGCATACACTGGATCTCAGCTCCCCCAGGCACAGCAGCTGAATCTCAGGGTCTGTGACGTGCTGCAGAGGCAGGGAGGCGGACAGGAGGCCACCAGATCCCTGACGTCACCTGCCCATCCAGGACAGGAAAGGACATCATCGTGCAAGGGGCCTCCGTGGGGTGTGCTGGAGTTGCCCTGTGAGCTTGCAGAGCCAGTCATTAGAGCTCTGAGAGTGCACGAGCCGGGCGTTCAATGCTGCCTTTATCAGAATTGCATCAGATAAACTTACCATGAAGTAAACTCTATTAAAGCAAGGGTAATAGTTACAAGCCCTCAGCTCCCGGTTATTTTACAACTGTTGCAGTTAGCTGTTGAGTCTGTGGTGGCAGCACCATGCGGTAGAGACCACCAGCATCTCCCCCAGCTCCACCCTCAGGGGCATTAGAGTGCAGTGGGAGGTCAGCCCTGGGCAGTGTTTACACCACAGAAATTGGCAAATGCCACATATCCAGGCTGCTTTCTTTAGTTTACCTGAAGAGCTGGCTATCACACACCTGCCCGCGTCCACAGAGCCTCCGTCGTCCGTTGGGGTGGGGGCTCTGCAGGGTCACTTCTGCCCGTCTCCCCGGGGTTCTTTCCCTCCAGAGGATCACTTGGCCTCCCTCTGCCACTCTTGGGGCATAGAATGACTCGCACTTGAGCCTGGGGAGCTCAGCCAGACCCTCTCTGCCTGCACACTCAGCCTTCAGCTCGTTCCGGGTCTCGCTCCCTCCCTGGACCTCCCCAAGGGTGAGTCCAGGTCCTCGCTGCTCTGATGCCCCTTGAGCCTCACAGGGTATCCCCTTCCTCCTGCCTCCTGCAGGGCTCACACCAGGCAGCCAAGGCAGCCCCCATCATGTGTCTTCCAGGGGCCCCTCACTCTGCAATACCACACTCCCCACCACGCACACCTCCACACTTGGAGAATCTCCTGGGTCCCAACTGGGGCTGATTTCCCAGAAGCTGGAAGAAGGACCCCACGGGGCTAAGACCCAGACTCTGAGGGCCCCACACAGGAGGATGATGCAGTGAGGCTGGCCAGGGGTGGGCTGGGCTGAGCAGGCAGGAGTTTGGAGCTGCCTGCACTGTTGGTAGAAGTGTGGCTGCTGGGGGGTGGCGCTCAGAGGAGCAGGAAGCAAACTGGAGGCCACCAGTCCTCTGTCATTCCACCGTAGGCAGGTGTGTGCAAGTCCACCCCAAAGTCCGAGGAAGCTGCTGAAGAAAGAGGCCGACATGTTCAGTTTCTTTAAAAGAAACATCTAATAGTGACTTACGAACAGAAGCCAGGTCTGTGTCTCAGACGACAGTGAGACGAGATGGTGGATCCCTGTCCCATCACTCCCAGACCCAGGGCTCATAGACCATAGGGAGGGGTGACTCAGAAGAGACAACTGAAGGATGGTAACCTTAAGACTGTTTGATCCAGTGGCAGGATTTAGAGTAAGTGCCTGCTCCTACACAAGGAACAATCAATTAACTGGAAACGTTAGAGGCCTTCCCAGAACAGGGGTTAATCAGAAGCCAACATGGCAGATCCACATCCAACACGGAGCTGCTTTGACCTCCACAGCCCTCCAGTCTCACTGCCTCCCCCTACGGCCCCTAAGGCAGGGTCCAAGAGGAGTTTGCGGAGGCCATGCCCCATGGTCACAGGCCAGCAGAGGACAGTCCCCAGCTGAGACACCACAGCCCAAAAACACACATGCCCACCTTATGGTCCTGCACCCAGAGGAGAGACCAGGGGCCCACCGACCAGCCTGCCCTTCAGCAGACACACCCCCTTGAGGTTTCTGATCCCAGGACTGGGAAGTGAGGAGGGGGCACCTGCTGAAACCCTTTGACAATGACAGTAGGTGAGGCAGAACAAGACAGAGCAGGGCAGAAAGGATGCTGTAAAAAGGCCATGCACAGAGTCCACGGCCGGCACAAGGGAGCCCATGCACAGAGGCTGCACACGGGCTGCAAACACAGGCTGCACACAGGCTGCAAACAGAGGCCGCGCAATGGAAGCTGCACAGAGAGGCTGCACACAAAAGCTGCACACAAAGACTTCTCACAGAAGCCGCACAGAAACTGCACAGAGAGGCTGCATACAGAGGCTTTACACGGAAGCTGCACACAGCTGCCTGTGCCTGGGGAGAGCCAGTGAAGCCTCCACTGTGAGGGTGAGTGGAATAGTCCCTTCCCCATGGAGGTCATTCCTACAAAGAGTGCCTGCTCCCTGCACGCAGACAGGACCATTGGAAGGGGCTCTGGCGCTTTTCCCAGTCTAAGTGCTGAGCTCTCCGTGGTCTCCTTGCCAGAGCTGGTTGCTTTAAACACGATTCTGTTGGTTCAAATCACGTTTTAAAATATTTAGAACAGAGACTGCAAAGTAGTGGCCTAGCAGGAAGGTGTGTTCTCTTTGGGCTGCTATTCCAACTTTTTTCTTAACGGGGGATTTCACATAAAAATCCATACTCTGAGCTTCTCCTCAGGCATCCCCAGCTGGTGCTCCTGCAGGGAGAAACTGGTGCACCCACCCTGACGCTCACCACCTCCACCTCTGCAGCAGCCTCACCTACACGCCTGGCCTCTGGCGGCACCTGAGCTTAACACTTCTGGTGTAGGGAAAACACTGTGCTGGGACTCTTGAAGAGTCAGGCTGTCTTCAGAAAGATGTAAACATTTTGAGGTTCAGAAAAGTGGAGGCTGAATGCAGAGCAGGTTGAATCGGGAACTCGGTTGCCAAGATTACCTGTTCCTCATGGAAGGAAATCATGACGAAGTCGGGCTTCATGTCATAGGGAAAGAAAACCCTTTCCCCCTTCGCTTCTGCCTCTGACATGGAAAAGCATCTTGGGTGTGGGAGAGGATGTCCCTGAGTAACAAGGGCAGTTAGATGCCACCTTCCCAACATGGTCCTTTCATGTCTGTTCAACCCACCACAAAGATGTAACTGGGCAACAGCAGTAAATACTGCACAGCTTCACACCAATTCCACCAGTCACCAGGATGCCCGCACACA